GCCTTCATAATGCCCCTAGTAATTTAGCCTGGCACCTGTTAAGAAATTAGACATCCCCTCCCTCCCTAACACCATCTCCATCTCTTGTGCATGAAGGCCGGGTTGACAGTTCAAGGTAGCTTAGGGGAGAATAAAGCACTTAGAATCTTTTTAATGGCTTAATGGCTGTCTCATCTTGGAAGTTATCTCTTTATATTCACAATCATTTTCATTTGTTTCCCAACTAGTTTTTTGAGTGTGGTCCATATGTTGGCCATTATGCAGACCTAGTTTCCAGGTTTGTGTGTTCCTAAATACGAACACCGAAAGTGTTTTTCCTTTTGTTTTTAAAATGCTCCCTGATTAGTGTCAGTGTATAAAATAATGGCTTCCCTTATGACATTTTCATGCACATATGATTATACTTTGCTCTTCTTTTGTGTCCTCAATGTCTTCATTCATCTCCTTTCTTCCCATAGCTCATTTCCCTCCTCCCTGATAGCAGTGGCCTCTCTATTTTCATGGCACACATGTCAATACTCTTTCACAGGGGTTTTCCAATTTCTTACCTGTGTAAAATGATTATCATATTATGGGTTATCCTCAAACTGCACTGTATTCCCTTCGAGAAATGGCCTATGTTCTCAATGTTTAGGCAGTCGCCTAGCCTTAGTGCTCCTAGACACCAAGCTGTTGATTAACCCCCAAGAATTTCTTAAATAGTGGCTATCAGTAATCTGCCCTACTGCAATGGATCATATTAAATAAAATATAATTGTGAGGTATTCCGTGCACCTAAAAAACACCATTTTAACTTCATAGGTGCATGGCCTCATGAAAAGTGCTTGTGGCTGTTGTACAGAAATCCCTGGTAGGGTCTGAAAACTGATGTCCCATCTTACTATTAGGATGTTTTTAGACACTAATCCTTGGTGTGCTAAATGCAAAAAGTGTTCTAAGCTTACTGTGATGGTAAAGTGTGCAATAAATAAAATAAATACACCTTAAAATATGGCATATTGTTGCATTATTTTCTATTACTGCCAAGATGATGTGTATTAGAAAATGCTGGCTACCTATCTAAATCAGAATAAAAAAAACACACATCATCTCAGGCCCTAGGGGTGCCCACTGGTAATTGTGGAGTCCACAATGTTCTCTGGTTCTCCTGCTCTCCTCTGCCCTCCATCTCCCAGATATTACATCCATCCATGCTTCCACTGATACTTTGCATTTTAAACTTATATTAATGGCAGTTTCATCTAGTTCACTGCTAAAATTGAATCACATGATTTATACTGTTTTTAATCTACTTTTTATAATTATGATATTGCCAGGATTCTAGTTCATTAACTATTCTCTATATCATTTTTAATTGTGCACAGTGTTCTGAAGTATAATTATAGTCTTTTTTTTAAACCAGTCTCCTGTTCCTGGATAATTAGATTATTTTCATTTTTTTATTATAGAGAGTGCTGAGATAAACATCATTATAATTTGGGAAGAGTAAAATGTAATGATTTAGGGCACAGATTATGGAGATAAGCGCTTTGTGCTCAACGCCTCATGGCCTGTAACCTTGAACAAGCCACTCAGATCTCAACTTGGTCATCTATGAAATAGGAACAAGAGTGGTACTTCTTCTTTGGCATCTCTAAGCTAATCCATTTTGAGTCTGTAGAGACTGTGGACACACTTAGGTATATTTTTGTTTAGACCTTCCCAAAATGCTGTGATCAAACACAGTTCTTGAACTGAAGATAGTTGGTCAAATTCTGCATCAATGTAAGGAACATCTGTTTCTTTCTAGACAATGTCAACTTGCTCTAGATGGTGTAGGACTCAGAGAAGAAAGCTGGCTTTTGTGTTGTAAACTGCGTGACTCACTGGGACACATCCAAGAGTGGTTGTGCTGACAAAAACAGTATAGCAAAATTTAGAAAGGAAATCACAGTCCTGCTTAAGCTTCTGTGCTCTGTTCATCCTATTTATCTGCCTTCAGACTGCTGTATGTAGGCTCTGCCCTCATCCACAGCTCGTGGTGACACAGTGCTCACACTGTAGGTTTTGTTTATCAGTGGCTTTGTAGGCAAATACAGCCCAAAGCAGGGAAGCTATCATTTCAAAGCATGCCACAGTGCTTAGACATAGCCAGGAAATTAACCATGCCAGTGTGATAATATTTCATTGAAAGCTTGCAACCCTTGTCCTTTGGTGATATTATCAATTTCTATTATAAGCTCATTTCTATCATAAGGGGATATCTTCAGGTCCCCCCTCTTTTTTTTCCTGTTTTTGGTCAAATTCAGAGAAATTAGAGCTGGTTTCTTTCTGTCTGCTTTCCTGGAAAACGTTGAATGGATTGTGGAAAGGCTCACCGAGAGGTGGGATGGGTCCTGTTTCCTCAGCCTCTCCTTTTCACTTCACCACCACGGCGCTCTCATAAAATACATTCCGTGATGCACACGGGCTTATCCTCACACTTATCACAGTGTCACAGTGGGGAAAAAGGCCATACAATAATTTATCATAGGCTTTAAAATGTTTTTAAATAAAATCTTGATGTCTTTATCAGCATAATAATATAAGCTGAAATTGCCTTTCCTGTCTGCCATCTAGTTTTCCTTTGAACTTGAGAGAGGGCAGGTATTTAGCTCCTTGGGTATTTGAGGTTTCCACAATGTGGGAAGCTATGGAAACTTTCAAAAGGGTTTAGCAAAGAAAAAAATACAAAGTTCTGAAGAATTGCTATGAGTATCTGAGATACAGCATGTAGTTCATTAAATAACTGGGTGGAGAGGTGGGGAGATAGCTCAGCCAGGAAAGTGCTTGCTGTGGTAATGTGAGGACCCGAGTTCAGATCCCCAGCCCCATGTAAGACATCAGATATGACAGTGAATGCCTGTGTTCCCAAGGCTGGGGTCACATGGAGAGAGGATCTGCGGGCTCACTGGTTAATCAGTCTAGTAAATACTTGAGTTCCGGTTCAGTGAGAGATCCTGTCTCAGAAATTAAGGTAGCATAATAGAGAGTGATCCCAGTGCACAAACATGTGTGCCCTACTCCACAGAACCCAGAACAGGATCAAGGTGGCCTTCATGAATCAGGAATAAGTTTACTTGTGACAGGATAGTGATCAACTGGACTGACTGTCCTGGGATTAAGGCAGAGGAAACGAATTAGAAAAGCGGATGGTGGATTTGTCTTGGGCAGAATGATGACTTCTCTCTCTACTGATGATTGATGAGACGAGGAACCAGTTACACAGAACCACATACCTTTCTTTGGACGACTTTAAAGACAGGATACTCTTGTCTCCACCTAAGATAGCTAAGAAGGGAAGGCATGTGTGTGCAGTTTTAAAACGGTATTGTTTTCTTTTAAGACTGAAAGTTGCAATTTTAAAAATGCAAGGTCCTAAATTGCAGGCAACAGAAGAAAGAACTGATATGAATAATAATTAGGTCTGGATCTCATTTTAGAGTTACCACATAATCTTATTTTGAGAAAGAAGATTGTGAGCTCATAGGTAATTGCTTCTCTCATCTGCTTTAAGTTCAATAATTCTCGCTCATTGTTTTTAATTCCGTTAAAGAGTGTTTATTAAAATACTAATGAGACCGAAGCCGTGCTGATTAAAAATGGAATTATTCGCTTAAACCTTTTTCTGTTATGAAATCCACGGTTGGTTATACCGTTGGAAGATGGAGTCCACACTTCTGGTGAGTTGCTTGCCATGTGCTTAGCATTATGGTAGTCTTCTCAGTATTACTTCATGTCTGGTGAACACTCCTGGGGATGGTTGTGGTAGCTAATAAACAAGTGAACATGAGCGTGTGCCAAGCAAAGCGTGTTTGTGTCCCTCATGGGTTTCAAGATGGTTGGGGGTGGGCTTGATTCCTTCAGCTGACACCCCACTCCCCCTGTCCCCGACTTCTGTCTAACAGCCATTCTTCTAATTATTCAAAGTCTTAATACATCTTTCAATTTCTATTTTTTCCTCTTGTTTTGTATGGCTTCCTGTGCCTGCTACCTTTTTGTTAGCTGTCTGTTTTCAGTCTTAGGTTGGATGTGCTTTTTAAATAGTCCACTGTTTTTATTCTGCTTTTTCTGTGGGAGGTCCTTGGGCTTGCTCACTGACATACATTTCGATTGGTGTCTTGTAAACCCAGGCTGCTAAAGGGCTATTCAGATCTTTAACAACCCAGTTCCTGGTCCCCTCTTCCTTTCCTTGAAACTGGCTGGGTTCAGGCTCCTCCTCCTACTGATCTGAGCAGTCAGTCTTCTTCCTGCTCTGTCTCTTCGCTGTCTTTTTGTCACGCCAAGGTTGACTCCATCTTTCCCTGCTTAAAACCTCCAGCTGAGGTCTCCTGTACAAAAGATGTTGTCCAAGTTTTACCAAGCATAAAATCCTCTGTAGGAACTGCTCATTCCCAGCCTCCCTCCCAGCCTTCTTTCCCTTCTCTTCCCTTCACAACTTTCACTAGCCCTTTCCTTACTGTGGCTACATCAAACTCCATATTTGAGGTTTAGGGAACGGGAAGAGCGAAGCCCTGGAGCTGGAAAATAATATGGTGATGCTTACGCAGTGGAGTGATGCCATGAATGGTTGGTACCAGGTACCCTGAGCAGCAACTGGTGCAATGCAGCTGTTGGTGCTGGAGCCGGGACGCTCAGCTTAGGAATGGAGATCAGGAAGGATATATAGAGTAGTTGGCAGAGCAGTTGCCTAGCATCTGGGAAGCTCTGAGTTCGGTCTCCAGCATGGCATAAATCTGGTGTCATGGCTCACACCTAAAGTCTCAGTACTCAGGGGACAGAGTCAGGAGAATCAGAAGTTCCGGGACATCCTTTACTACATAACTGGTTTTGAGACCACCCTGGGATACAAGGAACCTCATCTAAGAAAATAAATAAGGTGATATCATGCCAAAGGCTTATGTTTCTCACAAAGGAGAACAGAGTAAGGAACTGCAAGACTCACCCTCACACTCCGACGCCTCCTCTTTTTCTCATCCTAGCTTGTGACGGTGATCACTGGGGGCCCCACTGCAGCAGCCGGTGTCAGTGCAAAAACAGAGCTTTGTGCAACCCCATCACTGGCGCTTGCCACTGTGCTGCAGGATACCGGGGGTGGCGCTGCGAGGAACGCTGTGAACAGGGCACCTACGGTAATGACTGTCACCAAAGATGTCAGTGCCAGAACGGAGCGACCTGCGACCACATCACTGGGGAATGCCGTTGTTCACCGGGATACACCGGAGCCTTGTAAGTTGATGAGCTGTGAATGTACACCACATATACGGTGTGCCCGGTTTCCATCGCTCCCTCAAAGCTACTGTTGGGTCCAGGGTCCAGGCACCAGTGTGATGGCCACTAGGGCCTGCTGCTGCTTGACTTTCGATTGCTGGAGCTCAGCCAAGATGTAAGGATTAGCCTCCAGGCTCACAGGATGGTGTGTGAATGAGTACATTTTGGGATTATCATGGCAGGTGTGGGTTTCTATTGCAAATCTCCCATGATTCCATTCACCGTCTAGGAATAGTTGCTATCCAGGTGGCTCTGCTCTTGTGGCAATTAATTGGATCTATCCAGGTGGATATAGAGCTGGTGAAAGAGATTGAAATGTTTGCACACAATGAAAAACAATAATATGAAAGGTCATGTGAGTCATGTAGTACTCGTGGTTACATGTATTTCTTTATGAAATAAAAGTACACACATCACATCTATTATATTGCATTGCACACAAAGAGTTTAATTTTTGATGGAGGACATTGAAATAGATTCTCAATCTCCATGACTTTGTTTTGGGAATGGCATTCTTTGGTTTGCTTCTGTTAACAGAATAAAAAGCAGAATTTGGAGAAAGAAAGGAAGAGAGGGAGGGAGTGAGAGAGGAAGGAGAGAGTGTGAGAGATCTTGTTCTTTTACTTGGAAAATTACACTCATAAATCACAGAACTAATAGTTGGGGGAAATGTAGCTGATTAGGTGAATATGTCCTGCTGACAGTGCTAATGTCTGTAGAGTTAAAGAAAAAAAAACACGCTAGCCTAGAAAGCCCTGGTTTTCAGAATAGATGTTTGTTTCCAACTGTTTAATTGTTAATATCACTTCTATGGGTTTTCATCAAGGCCAGCATTAAATTGGGCTGTGGGAAACTAGGAGGCATTTTCTCAGAGCAGAAATGAGGTGGTTCAGTGGAGATGTCAGAGGACAGTAGGGTTAAGGAGAAAGAACACCTGCACACAGATACATACACAGAGAGATCTCTCTCTCTCTCTCTCTCTCTCTCTCTCTCTCACACACACACACACACACACACACAGAGAGAGAGAGAGAGAGAGAGCACACAGATACACACATAGAGAGACCTCACACACACAGAGAGAGAAAGAGATCACACACACACAGAGCACACAGATACACACACAGAGATCTCTCTCTCACACACACAGAGACAGAGAGACAGAGAGAGAGCACACAGATACACACACAGAGATCTCTCTCTCACACACACACACAGATCTCTCTCTCTCTCTCTCACACACACACACACAGACAGAAAGACAGAGAGAGAACACACAGATACACACATAGAGAGATCTCATACACACACAGAGAGAAAGAGAGAGAGATCACACACACAGAGCACACAGATACACATACAGAGAGATCTCACAGAGAGAGAGAGAGATCACACACACACAGAGCACACAGATACACATACAGAGATCTCTCTCTCTCTCTCTCACACACACACACACACACACACACACGAGAGACAGAGAGAGCACAGATACACACCTATACACACATGAGAGAGAAACAGAGGCAGGTCTCAAACCAAAAGAAGGACTGACAGAAGGACCTAGTGACCCATCAAGATACTTCCAGTCAATGTGATTAATGTCTGAAAGCCTATTAAATTAATAATTACTGAATGAGGAAAGATTGTATATTTTAGTGTTCTTGTGATGTTGTGTCTGTGAATCTGAGGATCATGCACTTGGATAAAAAACAATGTCTTATGTTTCACTTAAATCCCTCAGTTGTGAAGATCTCTGTCCCCCTGGCAAACATGGCCCACAGTGTGAGCAGAGATGTCCCTGCCAAAATGGAGGCGTGTGCCATCATGTCACTGGAGAGTGCTCTTGCCCTTCTGGCTGGATGGTAAGTTCCCCTTCCACCCCCCAATAATCACACATTCCAGGACACACAAGAGAATATCATAAGGAGACCTTAGCACAAAAGAAAGTAGCAATGGTGGTTATGATTCCTGCACTCAAATACACAGTCATTTAAAAACAAATCCTTCAGATCAGAGAAGCCAGAGGTAACTTTGTGCTGCGTTTGTCCTTAAAGTGCATTAAGAACTCTCATGGAAATAATAAATACTATGGGTTCCCTAAAGAGAAAAAGAAACAGATTATCTGATCTCACACATAACATCAGCAACTGATAAATACTGAAACTATTTAATAACTGTCTTCATAATTGCATTCATGACAGTGTGCTGTGAATATATGTTTCTCTTACTGGTTGATGAATAAAGTTGTTCTGGACAATGAACAGGCAGGATTTAGCCAGGCAGGGAATCAAAACAGGAATAGAGAAAGGTAGGAATCAGAGTCAAGAAGACACCAGTGCTGCCAGGAAGGTAGGATGTCTGGGCGTTCTCCAGTAAGGTAAGGTCATGTGGAGATCCATTGATAGTTATGGGTTTAATAACTAAGAGAGAGCTTGCCAGTAAAAAGCCTGAGCCATTGGCCAAACAGTTTATAATTGATATAAGCCTCTGTGTGTTTATTTGGGACTAAACAGATGTGGAACTGAGCTGGACAGAAAATTCCATCAACATGCCCATGCCATTGCTACTGTCTATGATAACATCCTTCTTAACAGGATAATGCCACATGGAAGCATTAGGTTGTTATAAAAATCTGAAGAAACCATGTTTGTCTTTTTGCGCCTGGGTTACCTCACTCAGGATGGTTTCTTCCAGTGCTATCCATTTACCTGCGAATTTCAAGATGCCATTGTTTTTTTCTGCTGAGTAATACTCCATTGTGTAAATGTACCACATTTTCTCTATCCACTCTTCAGTTGAGGGGCATCTAGGTTGCTTCCAGGTTCTGGCTATTATAAATAATGCTGCTATGAACATAGTGGAGCAGATGCCCTTGTTGTATGAATTTGCCTCATTTGGATATATGCCTAAGAGTGGAATTCCTGGGTCTAGTGGTAGATTAATTCCCATTTTCCTGAGGAATCTCCATACTGATTTCCAAAGAGGCTGTATGAGTCGGCACTCCCACCAGCAGTGGAGGAGTGTTCCCCTTTCACCACATCCTCTCCAGCATAAATTGTCTTCGGTGTTTTTGATTTTAGCCATTCTGACAGGAGTAAGATGGTATCTCAGAGTTGTTTTGATTTGCATTTCCCTGATGGCTAAGGATGTTGAGCACTTTCTTAAGTGTCTCTTGGCCATTTTAGCCTCCTCTATTGAGACTTCTCTATTTAGTTCTGTACCCCACCTTTTTTTTTTTAAAGAACAATCTCGGTTTATTAAACATGAGTTTTGTTTCACCACACACTCCAGAAAAAAAGGAAATGGGAGTGGGGGGGGCGACGGGGCTGGGAGTGGAGCGGTAAGGAGAACGAGTAAGCAAACAAAAGTGAGTAAGAAGAGCCTGTACCCCACCTTTTAATTGGATCCTTTGGTGTTTTGGAGACTTGTTTCTTGAGTTCTTTGTAAATTTTGGAGATTAGCCCTCTGTCAGATGGAAATAAATCAAGCAGACCAGAAATAGTAGAACTTTACTGAGAATGTGAGAATAAGCCAGACTTACAAAGCTTCTCACAACTTGACCATAGTACTTTTACTTTGTGTGTTAATTCTATTGGCTTCCTGCTGTGTAGTATACAGGGTTAAAGCTTTACTAATTGTCCATGTGAAGTCAGGAAACAGTATTCTTGTTGCCCTGAGTTTTTTTACACATGTCTGCTTGAAGAAAACAAAGTCTACGAGAGCAGTTTACACTACCCTTACCTTGTCTGTTCAGGAACACCCCTTGGACAGCTTCTTTATTGTCATCTGTGGTGACTCCTTTAGCGTCAGAGCCAACTAAGACCTTTCTGCTCTTATTCTGATTTGTTTCTCCAAAGCTTTGACTCACTTGACCACGCACCTCTCTGCCTTCATCTTTTTTGTCCTCTACTTCTTCAATGACCATGTCTCCCACTTGTCTTACTAAAGGACTCTTCCTATCCCTTTCTCCTACACCCACTACACATTCCCCAGGTTTCAGTCTTATCCCCCTCTCCTCTCACTATAAACACTCTCTGGGAACTTCATTCAGACATCCTTAGCAGTCATCTGCTTCTTTCCTTCCCTTCCCTGAGTCCTAATGTGATACAACTACTCTGTTACTTACTCTAACCTTGGTAGCCTGAAGTCATATCTGTCTGAACCTGTCCTAAGCTGTACTTTCTACAGCCAGATGTGGGGGTATAATTGATCTGGAATTACTATTTATTATATGCAAGGAGCATAGGCACGGGCCTTATGACATAAGGGAGAGTTTTTTTGTGGTTTTTTTTTAAATCAAGACCACTGTGACAAGTGTGCAACAAATTTATCAGACCCATGGTGAAGGTGAGAAGGTGAGAAACTGGCCAGACAAAGTCCGATTCTTAAAGCAAAGTATGGGAGCTAGGCAAGGAACGGAATGCAGCCTTTTGTTGAGGGCCTGGGGGAGGAAGGAAGCTGTGTAAGGATCACTGGGGTGGTTCCAGTAAGCCCAACAAAGCAAACGTTAGGAAACCAAACCGACCATATACCTCAACCCTTTGGATCTGAGTGCAAGCCAACATTTCTTAGAAGCCTGAGTAGAAGTGTGACATTGTCTTTGACTCCCTCTCGCCTCTCGGCTCCTGCATCAGCCTTCTGCTGACACTGGCCCTTGCTGACTTCATGGCAAGGGAAGAGTCTTACTGCAGTGGCAGTGTCCAGGGAACCCCAAGATCTCTGAGTGAAGAACTGCGGGCATCTCACTTTCAGGTCGCCCCATCCTGAGGTTGAAATGTTCCCTTGTCATCACCTGGAGGTCATGATGTGGGAAGGTGGTGGACACAGCCTGGGACTGTGAGTCCAGGAGGCAGACAGATGGATCCACTCTGTTTGTCCCCTGGAACCTGCCCTCAACCACTTCCTCTAGGTCACAACAGATGTTTCTTAATAGAAGCTCCAAGACACTTTTTCCTCTGTGGGTAACTGAACTCCCAACTTAAATTTCTCTTTTGCAACATCTTATTTGTATCGTTATTTTAGATGTTTCTAAAGGTGAACTGACATTCCTTTTACACACACACACACACACACACACACCTCAACCAATAGCAACACTGTCATCTTTCCACTGTTTGCATACACTAGGTTTTATCCATAGTCAACATTTCAACAGAGTCCCTGGAAATTATTAGGGACCATGAAGGGTCATTAGAATCAGACCCTGGGAAAATGAGCATTTGCAGCAGATCCCACCACCCACTGAATCTTGGTCAGCTTTTAGCTGGCCCTAGGTTATCATTCCTTCAGTAATGTTAATATTCCACTAAGAGCAGAAAGATGTCCTCGTACTGAGTGATTATTTTTGTATCTGCTCCCCTCATAACCCATGAACTGGCCAGGCAAAGGCAGCTTATCATTGAATTTCAGTGCTTAGCAAAATGCCTGGCATGTGGACTATTCTCAGTTAAGCACTAATCTGAATCGTCTCTCAAGGGTTTTTATGGTTCCAAGAGCCTGTGGGAGAATCTTTCCTGTTGGTGGATAGCTTGAAACCACCAGAGGAGACTTAATTAGCTCACCAACTGCCTTTGGGGGTAGCCAGTAGTTAGAGAAAATGTATTTCTTATGCTATCCAGAATAAACATTTAGAAAACCATCTGGTGTTCTAGTTAGGCTCCAATTTCAGAGTACTCATAGCCTGTCTCTTTGGAGAGAGAAGACAACAAAAAACATTAGGGAAATCCCATTATGTAGGGTATGCTGTTTGCACTAATTATAGTTCCAATAAATATTCTAATGATTATAACTCTGATAAATCAGAGACTGTAAGCACACAAAGTTTCAACGTATGCATTGTGATGTCCTTTTGTTATTTGTTTATTAAAATTTTTCGTGCCAACCTCAGTTTCCCCTCCCACCTCTGTTATATGTTAAGAAAAGAAGCTAAAGACTGTGCCCAGCACCCGGGGAAACATTTGGTATTCTGTCTGCATCAGTTCCTACTTATATAGCGAACACTCAGTGAGCATTCTTGACTTCCGGTGGATCAGGGAAGAATACTTAGGAGTATTCATAGATCCCTTAGGCTGCCATAACAATTTTATGTAAGTTTATCTTAGGGTTCAGTTTTTAATATGAAAGTTTCTTATGATCACTATTCTGCTGTCTTTGAATGTATCTTGAGATTTGGGCTTATCAAGTTAATAATTCAGTCTGAAATTCTTCATATTTTAATGATGAACATTTTGTGTTCTAAAATGGCCTTAATCTAACTTTCTCACAGCCCTGTCCCCCAAATCTCTCCCTCCCTTTCTGTTGTCCCTGTTTTCTTCCTCTGCCTTTCACGGTTCTGGCTGGTGGCCCATCTAATTTTCTGAGTCTCTTTGAATTCAGGGCACAGTGTGTGGTCAGCCCTGCCCTGAGGGTCGCTTTGGAAAGAACTGTTCCCAAGAATGCCAGTGCCACAACGGAGGAACGTGTGATGCTGCCACAGGCCAATGTCACTGCAGCCCAGGATACACAGGGGAACGGTAAGGACACACTTGTGTTTCTCTGACTATACGTAATGAATTAGAAGGACAGTTTGGAGAGTCTAGGGAACATGCTCAGTATTATACATCTATAACTACTATATAATATTCCAGAGGCATCTAGAAAGTTTAAAGGTGTTCAAAAAAACTCTATCCTCATTGAATGTACAGAAGCAGAATCATAGAAGAGCAACACCGAATTGGAGGAAATGCGAGAAAACATTAAAAAAAGGACAACAGAACATGAACTATTCAGAACCTGTGATGAATGTGCCATTCTGAAATGTTGAGTATTTAGGACGGCCACTTTACATTTTCAGTATCTTTGAGTTATGGCAGAATAATGAGGAAAAGGATGAGGTATTGACAGATTGGTTTTCAAATGGTACATGTACTTAGAAACTTATATGAAGTATAGTTTCCTTCTCATTACCCAGAATATCTTAAGAATTCTTTTTATTTATTTCCAACGTTCTGCTCTAATTTTATCACTTTTGATTAGATACTATGGGCTTATTCTGCTTTTTGGGAGACGGCTTCGAGTAATTTTCTGTCTACAATTTCTAGTTACTATATTAGCTCCTTCTGAGTCCTTCATTTTGTTAAGGTCTTTTGTTAGAAGTGTCCACTAAATTTAGTTAAAAGCCATTTTGTTGTTTACTTAGTGTTTTGATGTAGGAATTACAGATATCTCAATTATTCCCTCTACAATATAGAACTGGGCTAGTCCGCGTGACTTTGTGACCCATAGCCTAGTTCCAAGCTTTGCTTTGGATGGATGAGGTCATTAGATGATTGATTAAAAGGATCAGGGAAAGAGGAGAGGCATAAAGCCACGCAGGATTCTAAGTGATTATTTCTATAATGTTTTAAGCTCTAGAGACATTTCAGTGCAAAATTGCACTTATAGATTTTAGTTTAAAAGCAACACAAAAACATCACACCTACCAGGCCAGCAAGCTTGTGCTCAGCTGCGTTGGGACACAGCGATAAAAAATAATAGCTAATTTTCAAGTCAACTTTCGAAACTCGAAGGCAAGGGAATCAAAATGAAGTGGGGTGGGGACCGTTGCTCTTCTACCCATGCTTTTGTCATCAGTGGTGACCTGTGGTTACTGCTTTCTGTCACTGCCCTCTTTGTCTCTGTTTTAAGTTATTAACATACACAATCCACGGGATGACAGAAAGCACACTTATTCCTCTATGAGAGAACACAGTGAGTGGCTGTGAGGCAGTTTGTGGCAGGAGGTGGGGAGGAGGCCCAAGGGTGGGAATCGTAAGTGTCCCTTCGCTTGTCTTGAGACGTCAGTGTGCCCGAAGCGCTGTGATTAGGAGGAATGCTCCACAGTGGTTGCCACCGCAGGCAGCTGCCAGCAAATACACCCAGGATGTGGGGACGCCAGCCATCCCACCACAGGGAAACAACTGGTGTACCCCACAGGCTTGCAGGACTACAAAAAGGATGACAAATAAGAGGCTTTGAGGTTTGTGGGAAGACCCAAAGGGTACTGTGGTAAGAAGATGCAGTACAGAAAGTTGGCAAGAAATGAAGGGAAGACAGTTCTGGGATCCTCACAGAGCTCTGCTTGAAGATGCCTTAAGAGGTGATAACAGTGTGTTGCAGAATTACTTAGTGGCCCTTTGACGGTAGGGAATGGGCCCATGCCTACAAACAATGCTCAGGGAGTGCTCATGACTCAGTGATAGAGTCTGTTATGGTGAGCCCCAAGACACCCCTGCCAGGCCTATGTTCTGTATGACTCTGAAAGTGAAGAAAGACAAGGATAATGGCACAAGGTCGGGAGCTGCAGTTTGACACTGGAGGGGGCAGCACTGGTCTTCCCGGAAGGGGCATCATCCTGTCTCCATGACTGTGGAAAAATTGACTCCTTCTCAGTGCCTTTGACTTTTCCCCCAGGACAGCAGCTCTAGATGCTACAAGGCAGGCTGCTGACCCCTGATGAAGACTGGAAGTCTTTCAACCCAATCACAATTTGACTCAGCTATCCTGGTTACTCTGGGAGCTGACATGCTCCGGAAGACAAGGAGCCACTACCCCCACTTACTTCCTCTTCCTTAAATTTACAATCCGATGCAAAGTAGGGATCAGAGTGACATCAATGTAAGGATGGGCTCCATTAATTAGTATTTTATCAGCCTATGTATACTCAATGATTGTCCTTTCTCCTAATTCCAGAACGCTATTAGAAATTTCATTCTTTTTTATTTTTAAGACAAATCTACAATTTTTATATTTCTTCTCTGGCCAATGTTTATTAGTCTGTTATTTCTCTGCCATCTTCCTTAAGAACATGTATTACTGATTTCTGGGATAGCCTTTCTTATTTCTTGTGGGTTCATCATAAAAGCAACTGTAAGGGTATGAAAGGGAAATAGCCTCAATCTAGAAACCAACTGGAAAGACACCACCCCCATGATGTTTATTTAAGATAGAAAATGTTCTGTATTCATGTATTGAATTATTACATTCTACCTTATGCATCTGTACACAATTAAAACAATGATTAAAAAAACATGGGAAAAGTGTCTACTAGAAAGCTGCCCCATTGTTTGGGTTTGGAGGTGGCAATGCACAGACAGCTATTGCTGGCAGAAGAACCAGCTCCCAAAGTGATGGCCTGGACAGCAAATCCAAGTGTATTTGTTCTGAATTGACACTAGAAACTACTATATATTTAATTAGAGGCTAGTGATGGCCTGGACAGCAAATCCAAGTGTATTTGTTCTGAATTGACACTAGAAACTACTAGATATTTAATTAGAGGCTAGAAAGGTGCAAACAGGCCGGAATCAGCCATTATACATTTTGGCTTCCAAGAGAAAGAACATACTGTGCCAAGACACAATGAACCCTCACATGCTAGTTCCGTGTGATGGGGCGACATAACTTTCCCAGACATCTGACTTCCAGCAGCCTTTACATAGTTCTTAAATAAGTCACATTAAAATTGTACAAATAACTCAAGGTCCAATCTTTTCCTAATTAATATTTATGTGTTTGCTGTATGTGTTGGTGGTGGGGTGGTGCATGGAACCTGTGTCGGGGTCATTGAGAAACTCTCAGAACATGCTCTCAGTCATGTGGCTTCCGGGATCCAACTGACGCCATTAGCTGTCTTTACCCCTGAGTCATCCCACCAACCCAAAATGTAGCATTTTATTTTGTTTATCAATTCATAGATGAGGGTGAGGAAGTGTTTCTTTTAATCTATTTTGTTCATTGGCATTGAGTTGCAAGGACATCCTGTCAGACATATTGAGAAGCTCTCTTTCCAGCCTTTAGCAAAAGCTTAGATTAGGTCCAATCACTTTGTACCTTACAAAGTCTTTCTTTAAAGTACACACTTTCAAGGAACAAATCAGATGACTTGGTTTGTTAAAGCATCTTGAAGGTTAAAAATATTGAGGACCTTTATAAAATACTCTGTTCTAAAAATAGCTGCAGGCATTCATAGGTAGCTCTAAAGTCTACATTTGAATTTATTTGAAGTTGTATTCACTGAATTGCTCCAGAAGTTCTTTTGCGGTTAAGCAGTTAGTGATGGCATGCTGTCAAGTGCACTTGGAGATGTCTAGAAGCAGGGAAACCTTCTACTAGTAGGCCATTTCTCTTTTCTCCATCGTATTTAGTGCATACTAGAGCCAGAGCCAACCAGCAAAATGTCAGAAGACTCCCAAGGTTTTCCCTCTCTACTTAGACTCCCAGTATTGACGCTCACCACACCCTGTCATTATAATTATGCCGAGCCTGTTGGAAAGGCTGCTTCTCTTGGATCTGTTTCTCTGTCATTGCTCTTAAGCATGCCTTGCTGCTTGCATTGTTCAGATCTGGAAAATGCAATACTGACCTACATTTTTTTATCGGAGTCTGGCGTGACTGGAAAGCCACGCGGGAAGTGGCTGCTGAAACAGTATCCCCTACCGTGATGAGCACTGCTCTAGGTGTGACTTCATCCCTGTCCTCTTGGCTGGATGCTCTCTGTCACCTCACCTCACCAAAAAGAGATTTGGTAGCCCCAATAACCACTCATGCTTTCCACAGACCTGCGATGCCTCCTCCATTACCCAGCATCAGGATCAGCTCCCCACCTCAACCAACTTACCAAAGTATCCCCCCCCCCACGCCATTTCTTTTAATTGAAAAAGACGCTAAGGTTAAATTTTTGGGTTTCTTTTTCCTCTGCCATTTGACCATCCTTCCCAACAGAGGGCAATATCTCACTTGCCAAAAAAAAAGGTTGTTAGAAAAACTCAAAGCCTACTTATAAACTACAGACTGAGGCAGAGGACACTAGATATCGGAAGCTCCTAATGCCTGAGTCTTTGTATTTAGTTCTCCCTTTTACATGCTTATGGCTGTTAATGCTATTATCCAGAGTGATCCATCTCATTATTTTTCTGCCTACAAAGGGACAAACATGAAATACTATGGGTTCAAAAAGCATTCTAACTTGTACATAGTTGGGGCTTTTTGAACCGACTGTTGGCCTCTTGTTTGAATAGGTGTCAGGATGAATGTCCTGTTGGGACCTATGGAGTTCGCTGTGCGGAGACCTGCAGGTGTGTTAACGGAGGGAAGTGTTACCATGTGAGTGGGGCATGCCTATGCGAAGCGGGCTTTGCAGGCGAATTTTGTGAGGCGCGTCTGTGTCCTGAGGGGCTATACGGCATCAAATGTGACAAGCAGTGCCCCTGCCACCTGGACAACACTCATAGGTGAGTACCAGCTATCTTGAAAAAAAAACATTTTCTATTAAAGTTCTAACTTTAGTGTCCAGGGGTTGGCAAGAATGGCTTCTTATTGACAGAAAACATCAAGTTGAAGGACATTTATTTTTCACTTAGTGACTGAAAAGCCCCTGTTCAACAGGCTAAGGTTATTGGTTGCTGGTGGGTATTAATTTATTTTCTCTATTGATGGGGACTAGTAAAAATGACTTTGCTGAAATGTACAGAAGGATTGTGTGACACTCCCTTAGAAGCAAAGATTCTACGGAGAGATAGGGGTTAAGCCAAGCTCAGGATGTGAAAGCCTCTTGATCACTGCAGCATCTCTTACTTGACAACACATCTGCGGGAGAAAAGGAAGGCTACAGAGAGGAAGTGGGCGGGGTTTGTGAAAGTGCTTCACATGTGGGATAGCTTTCAGAACTGATTGCACTGACCAAAAAAAAAAAAAACAAAAAAACAAAAAAAAACAAAACCAAAACCAACCAACCAAAAAAAAAAAAAAAAAAAAAACCTCACAGGGGTCTTTCAGGTCAAAAATCTCTCCAAAAATTTAGAAACAGGAAGCCACACTCCTGCTTACCTTACTGTGCCTTGTCTGTCCCTGAAAAGTATTTTCCCACCTACTCTTTTCTTTTCCCCTTCTCCACAGACCAGATACATATAACTGAGAATTCCCAGATGTGCGCAGATGTCTGGAAAAGATAAATTGGACAAAAATGTAGTGCAGTGTACGACAGTTCAGACGCTAGGAGAAAGAATTTTATTTGCATTCAGTGCACATGGCCCTTCATTCATACTTAGACACATCAAATCCCAAACACATAAGCTCTAGAGGGAAACAATGGTGTGCACTTGGCTTATTCTTTAAGTCATTGTTATGAATAGAAGAAAAATGAACTTCGTATTGTAGTGTGTGTGTGTGTGTGTGTGTGTGTGCATGTGTGTGTAAGAAGTGTACTCTCCAAGTGATTCAAGCAACTTTTCTATGGTCAACTTTGTGCTTCCTTCATTGGAACATACTGTTATCTCTCTCTTACATGAAATATTGGATAAGTATGCAGTTAATAAATGTTCTGCAAAGGCTTATTTCATCTTTATGACATGTAAGGGGCTGGCACGGCTAAACGCAAATCATGAGTTTTGCTTCCTCTACAGTAAGGCAAGCATCACCAGTGGGTTTCTTTCTTGTGTGTGGATGCAACTGAAACCCAGTAAAGCAGAAAACCACATAAGGGTAGACCTCTGTTCTGAGAGGAACTGGTGAAGCATGGAGACTTGGTTTTGGTGGAACTGGGTTTCTAGATGTAGGTGGAGGGTGGTTTTCTTTTTCCTTGATCATAGGACTGTGGTGCTCTTGACATAGGCCCTCTTGGGCTAAATGTATATACTCCAATAAAGAAGTAGATGAGATTGTTTGACAATTACACAGATCAAAACAATACTGAAGTGATGTCTATCAACTATTCCCAAGATTTAGAAACAATTTAAATGCTCTTAATCATGAAAACTATTTTAAAAGATTAGCTTTTTACAAATTCCTATTTGAAGATGGTTAAATGTGGATTACATGAGTCTATCACACTGGCTACACAGCTGGAGTCATTTATTAATTCTTATATCTTGAACATCCCTGTAAAATGCAGGGCGTGCATTAGAGATAAAAAGAGTTTAGAATCATTGCTTTTAATTGAAAGCCTAATTTGTTCTCTTATCACCTCATAAAGCAAGTAGAGATTTGCTACTACATATAATTCATGCAATAATTTTATCCAAGCCTTTCTCTGTAATTAGTAATATATGTAATGCAGTGTAAATTACTAGTTTACATAGTATTTAGGTTCTGTGCAAGTGAATATTGACATATGAGAGCCACACATTTGAGAAGGGGTTAGTATAGGCTAGCATTAGTTGCATCACAACAAATAAACACATGATGTCAAATTGAATAGCCTTAGTAGCTGATGACATTTTACTGTGTGAGTTAGCTCAGCCTTAGCCTGGGGGTCCCTTTTGCTATTATCTGTAGGTACTCCTGGAAGATCCATTGGAAGCTGACTGGTCCTGGAAACCCTCACTCCGTGTCTGGCATTTGACTGGATGATAAGAGTGACTAGGCACATGGAGTCTCTGGAAGGGTAGCCTTGGCTCATTTTAGCCAACTGGCTTCTAAAGTCAACAGCAAGCAGGGCAGGCTCTAACATCTAAATAAATATAATCATTTGGTTATGTCGTGTTGCCCAATATTCATTTATAAGATGAAGAACACTCACAAGCAGACCCAGAATCAGTAGGCTCTACTTTATTTTATTTTATTTTGAGACAAGGACTCATTGTATATCCCTGGTTGACTTGGAACTTGCTACGTAGACTAGACTGCCCTTGAACTTGGCCTCCACTTCTTTAGGAGAGGCATCACCCCAAAACTGTAGCCATTTTATTTTGTAATCCATTATTTAGTTGAGATTAATTTAAATATATTTACAAGTAATATCAATACTTTAAATATTAATGAACCCAAAGACATTTTTACTGACCTAGACTTTCAGGTGGAAATTATTTAGAGCAAGAATATAAAATGAGTTTACTTAGATGGCACACAGCATATGTGCCTTATTTTGCAAACACCACCTGTTATAATTTGCTTTCTGTTGTGATAAACGCCATGACTAAAATCAAATTGGGGTGGAAGAGGTTTGTCTCAGTTTCCACTTCCAGGTAAAAGTCTGTCACTGAGGAATGTCAAGTTAGAAATCCAAGCAGGAACCTAGAGCAGAAATGATGAGGAAAGGGGGCTTACTGGCTCTGTCTCTTCATGCTTACCTAACTCTGTTATATAGTCCATACTATATAACTCTATTTGCCTAAGAGTGGTGCCACCCACAGTGGGCTGGTCCCTCTTATATCAGTCATCAATCAGGCCAAATCTGATGGAGTCAATGCTTCCAAGTGACTCTCCCTCTTTCCAGGTGACTCTAAGTTGTATCAACTCACAATCAAAACTAACCAGGAGACCACCCAATTGTCATTGCATTTGAGTGCAGACCTCATATAAGGAAATGAATAAAAGGAAGCTCAACGACTCATTATGTTTTAGTAAATATGTCTTTGGGGGGGTCAAACCAAGACCTGAAAGCATGCTAGGCAAGTACTTTATTTCTAGTACAGTCCTGGCTCTTTTCATATTTTTTTATCTGGAGTCAGAGTCTCACCAAGTGCCCAGGCTGACTTTGAATTTACAGTATGGCCCAAGCAGTGCTTGAACCTGCAATCCTCCTGCCTCAGCCTCCTAGTAGCCAGGATCTCAGGCCCATGCCACTATTATGTACAACTGGATTCCTGTTACAAGTTAGCTATTAAACTGAAGAACCTATTTTTTTAACATAGCAGCAATTATATGTATGTGTAAAATGACAAATATTTCCATATGTGCCTAATTGTATTTTCATGTGTAAAAGCAGTTTGTTCTTTAGATAGAAAACAGATATGAAGTATATTGCCTTCCCTTCCAATCTTCCACGTGTAGGTCTTATTGCCCATTAACTGCCCTAGTCAGAGCCGCTTGAGTACCTCCATCTGAGGTCCTACACTGAATTACAAATTGGAGAACGCTAATCCTGGTGTCAGTCATTATGAAATCAGTATGTTGTGCTGCCACTCACGGGGGTCCTTGAATATCATTTTCTCTGTCTGCCCTCAGTTTACATTCATATAGTAATATCTATTTTGCTCAGCATTAACAGCTATGCTATGAATAATATTTCCGACTTTTTACTGTAAGCTCTATTCTACCAAAGATTTCCTTTCCTTTATAGCAGGTTAAGATAAAGTAAAACATTTTGTTTCCTTTTGCTTTTCTCAAATATAAGGTTTTACTCATATAAATTTGTCTTGTTTTCACAGTCTTGCTGACTTTGTATCACAGTGTTAAATCCTAAATTTTAGCAATTCCTTTTCGCATTGACTCTCTCCTGAAGGCTGCTAGCAAACTTCCTTTTCTTTCCATTTCAAAACTGATATTACATGTTTCTCTGGGGTTGGAGGCAATTCCCTTTAATTTAAGGCTAACATCTTTGAAACAAAGCTTCAGGGAAGCTCTGCCTTTGGCCTCAGGTACCTGTATCATGCCTGACATGTGAGAGAGAAGCAGGGATTAGATGAAAACCAGATCTGAAATTGGCCACGTCCTTATCATCATTCACTCTGCAGTCTTTGCTGTGAGCCTACTGTGTGCTGGGAACGGGCAGCAAAAGTGACTTAACTCCTGGCCTCATAGATCTGTGGTGTGGCAGGGAAGAAAGATGTCGAGGTAAAGTAGTTAGCGCTGCCGACTGAGCGGTGAGTGGAGGAAGGGTAGGATGCAGGGGAAGGGAACTAGAGAGACCTAGTTAAGTCTTGGTGGTTGGAGAAGGCTTCTCGGAAGAGGAGCTGCTTCAGCTGAAACTGAGGCCCAGATGGAGAGAGGGGCAGGTAAAGAGTAGGGGAAGTGCCTTCTAAGACATTGGAGTAGCTCACCCATGGAAGCTCTTCGAGAATTCTGGATGCTTTTGCAAGCTGAGAGAAAAGCACTGTGGCTGAGCGTCGTGACAAAGTGAGACCCGCAATGGCAGGCCTTTCATGGTGGGGTTGGAGCAGGCACAGAGATGGCAGAGGCCAGTGCCGAGGCTGCCTGACTACTTTAGGGTGACCATATCTGGCTTCACAAGGACAAGATAGTTAAGCCTATTGTCCTAGGATGAGTTTTATTCTCTCCTTTTCCACTCTTAAGAGCTTCTGGTTTAGGAAGGAAATAGGATAATCATGCCAGCATATTAAACAGTGTGGGTTTTATCCCGGTGTTGTTTAGTGGGGAATCTTGGACAAGCTTTTAAGGAGGAGCTATGGTGTGATTGGTGCTTTAGGTGACAACGAAGGTGTAGATACAGAGAGGAAGGAAGGGGGGAAGACTTTTTAGTTCAGTTGGCAAGTCATAGAATAACACAGAGGAGATATGGAGAGGGTCAAAATATAGTTTTGAGTTGGAATGAAGTCCTAGCAGCAGTTAAAGACGGGAGATGAGGCTAAAGGGGAGATAGAGAACAATTCTCTGCGCTCATCAGAGAAGTTTCTTCTTGCAGCAAATGGGAAGTAACACAGAGTGTTACATACACACCACTGGACAGTGTGCATAGAGAGAGATTTTGGAGCATTTAGTCCTAAATTGGATGTTTTATCAAATTCCTACCCTCAAGATTCAAGAAGCTGTTTAGAACAGGAGAAGGAAAGACTGTAAGAGCCAGAGGTAATGGGGTGACTTCCAGGAAACTATGTCTTCCAGACACAACAGGACTGGTGCGCATATGAACTCACAGAGACTGTGGCAGCACACAAAAGATCTGTATGGGTTCAAACCAGACAGGGTCCCAGCACTTAGAGGGAAGTGTGGACATGGAGTGCCAACCTTAACCAAGAAAATATCTACAACTGATATCTACTAGCAAAGGAAAAATAAAATCAGTTTTCTCCAATGGGGTTTCGCTGGGTCTTCTAACCACATTCTGGGGCAGGCCCCATGCCCAAGGGTAATTGACTAACAAAAAAATGAACTCAATTGTATTTTTGTAAACATTTTGTCACATTTTGCTTTGTTTGGGCATTTTTGTTTTTGTCATAATGGTCTTTTGCCTGTTTATTTTTATTTCTGTTCTTGTGTGTTTCTTTTAAAGAGAGGAAAAAACCCCACAGGGTTGGATGGGTAGGGAGGTGAGGAGGCTCTGAGAGGAATTGGAAGAGGGGAAAACATGATCAAAATGTATTGCATGAAAAATTAATAAAATTTCAAAATATAGATAAATAATAAAAATAATTTTGTAGAAGAAGAAAAGAGAGCAAGTCTTAGCTGTGTCCAGTAGTTTATACCTGTAATCCTAGCAAAGGCAGAAAATCTTGATTATGAAATCAGCTTGGTCTATGTGGCAAGGTTCCTGTATCAATGAGCACAGACAAACACAGCAATCCCCAGGCAGATGGATGGTGGGTACCACATACAGAAATATAGCTCACTAGGGTAGATACTGGCTGTAAAAGAAGGAAGAACAGGTCTCAGCCTTTGACATAAGCTTAGATGCCACAAATATGTCAATTATTTGCCCAAAGATGGTACCAGGGGAATATATCTATTCATATGTATGTAGATCTAACTGTGTCTAAGACTCAAACCCTTGTCCTCTGCATCCAAACCTTCTCTACCCAGGAAATCTCAACTGCATACGTGCATTTAGGTTTATCTTCATGTGCTCAGGATGGTTGTGATGAATACCTAGTTTTTTTCCTGTGGATGGTTAATTGTAGTAGGAGTCTGAAATCACATTAAAAAGAAAACAAAAAGCGTCAGAAAATGGAGATCAAACCATCCAGTCTCCTGGCTTTTTCTGAAGGAGACAGGAAAGGAAGAAAGAGAGAAAAGGACATACAGCATACGTGTATGGGATGTGGAGTGAGAGATGGCTCGGGAGTTGAGAGTACTTGTTCTTGCAGTGGCTCACAACCACTGCAACTCCAGTTCTAGGGTATCCAAAGCGTTCTGCTGACCTCTGCGGGCACAAGGCATGCATATGGTGCTCATATGTGCACTCTCTTCTACTTAAAAAAAATAAGGTTAGGGGGTGTGACTGAGACCTCATTAAGTAGGGGATTTCAAATAGGAGGCTTTGTGCCTTCCCTAAGGTCTCTCAGGTAGATAGAGAACTAGAATTATATTCTGGCTTCATCCCTAAGAGTCCCCTCTCCCCACAGAGTACAAATTCTACAACTAGCTTCTTTAAAAAGACCATTTAGCAAGTGTCTAGATGGAAATTAGATTTTGTTGTTATTCCTATTTAAGGAGGAGAGGGTTTGGCTTCACGGGAGTGGGGGTGGGGTGGGCATCTCTACACAGTTTTTCTATTGTCAGCAGGGTTTGACTGTTAAGGTTTTCCTGTGTCAAGAAGCACACATGTTTTAAGCCAGCATGTCACAGAGTGCCTTATTGTGTCCACTCACTTGCATGAACATCAGCACAGCTGATATGACCATTTGCTGTGGGGCAACAGCTGGCTGCCTGCCCTGTCAATGTGGCTACTGTTCCAGGTGACAGCTGCTGCTATACCACCAGGTAGATAGGTTGGGAGGAGAGACTTGTTGGCAAGGTTGCTGCTTTTGGAATTCCTTGGATATCACACAGTGGACTTGGCGTTGCATGGAGTTCATCAGTGTGCCTGCCTTCTTATTGAGTTATGGTTTGAGTTTAAGACAAAAAAAATTAGACAAAAGAGTATGGTTGTTGTAGTCATTTGAGTAGGGTATGGTTATTGTAGTCACTTGACTAGGGCATGTCAGCCAATTAACTAAACACACCATCATAGGAATTAGGTTTAAATCATGTCATGGAAGTCCCTGCACGTTTAGTGGTTATTGGTAAAGCAATGTTTGCACATAGCTGAAGTGTCATGTTTGTCCCAGAATGACTTGTTCCTTTCATCTGTGTCTCTCAGCTGTCATCCCATGTCTGGAGAGTGTGGCTGCAAGCCAGGCTGGTCCGGACTCTACTGTAATGAAACATGCTCTCCTGGATTCTATGGGGAAGCTTGCCAACAGATCTGCAGCTGCCAAAATGGGGCTGACTGTGACAGTGTGACGGGAAGGTGTGCCTGCGCGCCTGGATTCAAAGTGAGTAACTTGGGCTCTGGTGGCAGGCGAGGGATACACAGTGTGGAACAGATCAACAGCACAATTTATGTGAGCTACCATGAAGTATGGCAAACGTGATTAAACCATTCATAACATTCATGAGAGAACAGCTATCTGAGAAAATAGCTCTAACATTCCATTTATAACAGAGAATACTAATGAAACCATCAAATGCCATTAATGTTAATATTAGAACTCACCAGGAAGTCTGACCCATTATAATTATTCCTTATGTAATTGTTTTATTGTTATATATAGTCAACAAAGAAATAGTTTTTCCATGTGGCTATTATTAGTTATTATTTTATTTTTTTCCTCTGTATAATAATCCAGGCTGTCCTGGAACTTGCTTTGTAAACTATGCTGGCCTAGAACTCTTAGGGATCTGCCTGACTCTGCCTCCCAAGTGCTGGGATTAAAGGCAAGTACCACCACTACCCAGGCTAGCTACTATTTTCAACAGTTTCTATTTTAATTCCACAAAATTTAAAGACACAGCATGCATCAGTTAACATTTATGATATATTTGCACTCTACAGTCAGTTGCACAAAGTTTTGAAGTCCCTTTGAGAGTGTAGATTCTGCAAATGTATCTGTACGAGAAAGCAGAATTGTGTGGGAGGTCCCTAGGACCTTCTTAGCTATTGAAAAGGGGCAGTAGTGACTGTGCATTGAATTCTGCTGAATGTTGACAGTCACCCCAGGGCACATAATGTAGAAAGAGTGGGTGATGAAGTCTTAGGGCCCAGAGGACCTTTCCAGAGTTTTCCGATCAGAGTCACAATTCTTTGGCTGACGTCTGAATTAACCTCCTCTTAAGAGTCTTTTGTGTTTCTGAAAAGATAAGTCCCTCAGTAACCTTTGGTAACTCAGTTCTGTGTTCAATGCCTACTGCTGGAAAATTGAATCATACCACTGGCTGAGTATTGCTTTGATTCATCCATTAATAACATACATAATATACAGGGAGGTCCATGAAACACTTAGAAATGATGTACGGTTTGTGCTTATATTTTTGTTGATAATAATTTTAAAGTTGTTATAATTTATTTTTATATGCCTACTTGCATAACCAAGGGAGAAAGGTTTGTTTTGTTGTTCTGTTATGAAGACAAATCTAAAGAAGTCAGCAGGAGTTTGGCGTGTCCTATTTAATAATTTTATCACAATCATGGATTAGCCAGTGTTGCACTTGAGTATGCACAATTTATATAAGGAATAGTATCATAGCAAGTTTCAAAAGTCTAGAGTGTTAAAATTAGAGAGAAAACACAATTAGCCTTGCCGTGGTATATTTTTGTTTGTGCTGGCATGGTGTCAGTCAGAAAAAATAGCTGCATTTTGCTGTTTGTGCTCATCTAGGGAATTGACTGCTCTACTCCATGTCCTCTGGGAAGCTATGGGATAAACTGTTCCTCTCACTGTGGCTGTAAAAATGATGCAGTCTGTTCTCCTGTGGATGGGTCTTGCATCTGTAAGGCAGGTAAGAGTATGTGTGTCTGAATCCTTTATTAGCCCCTCGTCCTGTCACCTCCTAGAGTCACTGGAAGGACACATGGATGAGGGCTCTAGCTTTAAACCCAATAAAATCAGTGTGACCTCATCATCTCTCATCCTTCCTGAGTCCAGGAAAGAAACTCATATTTGGTCATCTCTGAAGTTGCTGCCAGCTTTCGAAGTCTGACTCCATGATTTTGGGAAGGGTAAACAAGCAGACGTGTCTATGCCCCCAAATGGCCTGACTTGGAGTAGTGACAAGAAATGCAGCCAGCACAGATTTTATGTGTGTCCTCCATAGATAGAGCCAGGATCTTGGAAACACATTCTTCATGGTTAATGGTTATTGCTTCAAAGATGCTGTTATTCTTCCAAGAACAAACCTTCCACTTCCTCCCATAGAAATAAACAAAGCTTATCTTTCTACCCAAGCATTGCAACACACTAAAGGTGACCTCACTCCACATCCCTTCCCAGTAGCCCAGGGGTGCTTCTCAGCCTTGGCATCCCTGACCAATCACACGGCACAGTTGGCTGCTAGGTTCCTCAGGGGGTTCCTTTTCATTTCTGGTGGAGGCCTATTGTGGCAGAGCCAAGGCTGTCTGCCACTGCTGTGACTGGGGCTGGGCAGCACTGTTATGCATCTCCAAGATGTCTCTGAAGGGAGATGTGGCTTGGAAGGGCTCAGCACAGCTCCCGGTCGCCTTTGTTCCTCACACACTCTGTCGTTCTTGTCATGCAGGCTGGCACGGGGTAGACTGTTCCATCAGCTGTCCCAGTGGCACTTGGGGCTTTGGCTGTAACCTAACATGTCAGTGCCTCAATGGGGGTGCCTGCAACACCCTGGATGGGACCTGCACCTGTGCACCTGGATGGCGAGGGAAGAAATGTGAACTTCCCTGCCAGGTATGTGTGCCCCGGGTGGCCATGCCTGGAAGACTATGCAGGAGGGTTGGCTTCTTTGTTTGTTTGTTTATTTGTTTGTTTTTTCTTGCTGGAGGTGAAGGAGTGTGACCCAGTCTTCGGTAACTATTACAAGAGTGGAAGTGGTCAGAGGCTCAGAAAGGGATAGAGCGGAAATCAGTTAGGCAGGTTTTAAAGAATGCTTCTTTCCTTCCCTTTATCCCTACACTGCTTTCCCAGCCCCCACTCCAACATTTTCTATTTCTTATACACTCATCTCCTGGGTGCAGCCAGGCAGCAGCATTGGTCAAACACCCAGTGTGTATGCCTGTCAACTCTCCACATATTTTGTTTCCATTATAATGGAAATCTGCAGGCTTTGGGGTGGGAAGTGACAGGGGCTGAAAAGGAGGCGGTGGCTGGTGTCACAGAAATGTGCATTGAAGTGATGAAAGAAGGTTTGGAAACAGCCTGGGTTGATGTAAATATTTCTGGAGGCACAGACGTCTACTCAGCACTCACTCCCTTCCCCTGACCTAATTTGGAGACATGCATCACGGGAAATCCCCCTCCTCTGAAGGTGCTGCAGACTAGCTGAGGGTGAATGGGAAGGGAACTCTATAGTGACCTGTTGAACACTTGCTTCCCAAGGCACTTTTCATGTGTGCATCATGCTTTCTTCTCGACCCATCAAGCATTCCATCCCCAGTGGTAAATTCTCTCCCCTCAGGACATTATCGGATAACAGTGACCCCCTAAATGGGGCCATTCTAGAGACAGAGTTCCATGGGGCCTCTTTTCTCCTCTGGGCATCCTTCCTGTTAAGTACAACCCATTTCCCACTGGAGAAAGGATTCCTGCCCTGCATTATTCTGTGTTCCCCAAGGCCATACGAGCTAAGCTATCTTTGCTGTCTCTCTCCAGACCAATGGGCAGATTAGCAAAGCTCCTCTGGGCTGTTATGTTAGGAGGTCTTCTACCTCCTCCTTGTAGACAAAGTGGAGACCCCAGTGCAAACTGTCCATTGCTTTTTATTAGATGTATTAATAAATCAGGGTAAGCTGATTTACTTCGTTATAGCAGAGCTATGTGCTGTCCAATCCTGTCAAACTAGCCTAAGACGTTGGCTAGTTGATTCCTTTCTTAACAAATTCTAGACAAATGATTATGTCATCTAACACCTTCTGCCTGATAGTGCTGTTTCCATGTCCCCATCCTCAGACTCTGGGCTGTTTTCCTCAGTATTTGTGCGACATGGAGAGGGTTGTAGTACCCTATACCATTTCCTAGGATCTGGGGTCAAAAATAAGTTTTCCCTACAAATAAGAACATTTCCATTCTTCTTCATGAAGAATGAATCATGTCCATCCTCCAAGAGTCTCCTCTTTATTGGACCACTCAATAATAGCATGTACATACAGGGACAGATGAGGAGACTACCTTTGTAATGTTTATGTACAGACTTGAATCATAGTGTTCTTCACAGATTCGACTTTTTCCTGGAAAGGAAGATATTTAGAGAAAGTAACAACAGATTTTCAGTTTTCTTTTCTATGTCATGTATTCCACAGTCAACAGCTTATAGAAATGAGCTTAATTCAATTATTTATATAATTACATATGTAATATATAATGTACATAATAAAATGGTGTATATATAATATATACTGTACATAATATAATTATGTACATATAATTATATACACAATTAAGTTCATTTTATATATAACATATGTAGTATCTATATATCTATATATTTATGTACACACTTATCATCTATTTAATTTCTCTATCTATTTAGTGTGTGTATTTGTATGTGTGTATGTGTATCTTTTTTGTGGACAATGACCTCTCTTCCCTCTAAGGAAGAGAATTATGGGCAACACTGGACTATGTTGTAAAACTAATTAGAGATAAATGAGCATATTTTTATGAGTGTGGTGATAAGAAAAGGCTCTTTTAGTCAACTGGCATGCTAATATTGTTGTCTATATAGATTGTACATACATGTTGGCATAATTTATTTCACCATGCACGTCTTCCAATTACTGTATCCAATTGAAGTTAGAGTTGAGGTGATTTTGCATGCATTTTGCATCAGGGGAGAGATCATGTGATGCATGTTCCTAGGAAGCATTTCAAGGCCCTTGTTGATTGTTGTCGTGGAAATACTTAGGTTTGTCATTGCTGGCTGTGATGTTCTCTTCCTTGCAGGATGGCACATATGGGCTGAACTGTGCCGAGCGTTGTGACTGCAGCCACGCTGACGGCTGCCACCCCATCACAGGCCACTGCCGCTGCCTCCCTGGATGGTCAGGTACCAGCTTAGGGCCAGTGTTTGAAAGAAATAACCAATGCTTTAGTATCTAGTGGTGTTGCTTGCTCCTTCAAAGGAACACACACAGGTCATTTTTTTTCAGAAAAAAATAAAATAAAATGCAACAAAATCCCCAGCAAGTAGACATATTTTTGTCCATGGAATGTTATGTGTTAGGTGTGATTAATCAGTCACCAACATCAGTCAGTTTCATTTATCTTAATGCAAGATCCCACTGATCGAATATAGGCCAGCAAGATTTCTGTAGTGTATTTTGAATATTGAGAGATGAAAAAATTAAAATAAGTCTCAAGACTACAATTAGAATCATCATACAGATAAAACTATTAAGTACTACTAATATGGTTCATTTACAAATATTACATCTCTTTCCCAGAAATAAAAGTTTAAAAACCCATCTTCCCTAAAAGTTTGAGTCATGGCAAATTCATGTTATTATTGAGCACAAAATTTCTAACCATGGTGTAGAAACTCCTCCTTATTTATGTGGTTTCATGAGTTCAGCCAGGAAGTTTATCAGGTGAGTTGTGGTCCCAGAAGAAGAAAGATGTCTTTACTCATGATGTACAGGTTTGCTTGGGCATTTAGTGCCGTCTTCAAAGTCTGTAAATCATGAGCAAGAGCATCGCTCTTCTTGAAGGACCACTTTACATCCCCACCAGCAGCATCTGAGCACTTCTTTATCCCCGACACACATCTGTCTTTCTGGTGACATCTGTCTCCGTGGCTGTGAAGTGGTACCTCTTTAGGTTTTGCTTTGTGGTCCTCTGATGGCTGATGATGCTGAGGACCGATCATCTGTGCATTTATTGGCCACCTGTAAATCTTCTTAGTAGGAACATCTATTTAGATCCTTCATTAAATTTTAACTGAGTTGTTTTTCTTTATAGCATTGCGTTCTAAGACCATATCATATAAATTTTCTTTACCAGATGTGATTTGCAAGCATTCCTTCACATGTTCTGTTTTTTTCCTTGCTATTTTCATAGCATCTCTTTTCAGCAGAAGTTTTTATTTTGATAAAGTCTACCTTGTCTAATTTTAAAATGTTGTTCTTTTGTGCTTCTTGTATCAATTTTAAGAAATCATTGCTTAATACAGGATTGCAGAGATTTAGTCCTATGTTGCGCTCTAAAGTTTTTAAAACTTTTATACTTATGATTTTATTCACTTTGAGTTAATCTTTCATACATTATGATCAGAGGGTCAAACTTTATCTATAACTAGTGATCTCAGCACAGTGTTTTGAAGACTATTCTTTCTCCCACTGACTGTCTTAACTTCCTAGCCAGAAGTCAATTTCCCATAGGTGTGAAGCTTATTTCTGGATGTTCTAGTCAATTGCACTGGTCTGTACACTTCTCATACTGGTACAATTCTTGCTTGGTTATGATGGCTGTGTAGGAGGTTTCAAATCCTTTTTGTGGTTGTCTCAGCCATGCTGGATCCCTTGAATTTCCATATGGCTTTTAGCATCAATGTACCAGTTTCTACAAATAAGCAAGATGGAAATTAAGTGCGGCTTAGCGAATAGATTAATTTGGGGATCATTGGCAACTTAACTACATTAAGTCTTCAGATTCACAAACATGACCTATCACCAGCATCCCTCAGAGGGATTCTGTTGCGACCCACCCCCCGAATTTGCTGAGAGCTTCTTTGGTTGTGGGTAGAAGAAAACAGTGATGAACTGTCACTTACTAGTGTCTGTCATAGAGTCACCTTGTCAGATAGGCCAGGTTGGTACAAGGACTTCATTTGCTGTCAGTGGAAGTGACCCATGGATCCAAGGCCCCTGTCCCTATAGTTCCTTCTTGACTTGTGAACTTGGCTTAATAGCACAAAAATTCATCTTTCTACGTCCTCTGTTACCTCTCAGTCACTGTTGCTGATGCTGGATACTAAATCACATTTGTGATTTCATCAGGGTTCCAGAGTTTTGCAAATGGATGGGCTGCACTAAATTCTCAGTGACCTCAGTGAGGCAAAGAGCATTTTCACTCTGGCAAACTCAGATCAGTCCTAACAGAGGGGCCACATTATGTAACTTGGGCCCTACTCTACCAATCCTACTTTTGTCTTATAAATCCATAGAGAGTCAGGGGTGTCCCTGGACATACCAGTCACAGCTCACGTGTCAGCCTACTCTGATAATTTAGAACCAGCCTGTGTAAGAGACACCCTAGGACACATGAGAAAAGCAAAAGATGACTTGGCTTAAAGCCAGTTAGAAAATGTGTTCCTGGCATTCCACAGTCTGGGTCATGGGGTAAGACAAATTATTCCATCTGGCCTTAGACCTATCAGGCTCCTGCGGGAATGCATTGGTTTTGCCACACAATGTGATCTTGTAATCCCCTGCCCAGCCTGCTTCCTGCTCATGGCTCTCTCCTCTCTCTCTCTCTCTCTCTCTCTCTCTCTCTCTCTCTCTCTCTCTCTCTCTCTCTCTCTCTCTCTCTCTCTCTCTCTCTCTCTCTCTCTCTCTCTCTCTCTCTCTCTCTCTCTGTCTTTTTGCTTTGTAGCCCATACTTATGTCTCTATTGTTCTCAGAATAGCCCAGTTGTCCCCCAATGCCTCATTTCTCTAGGTCTTCCATGGGTCTTGGTGTGTAAATAGCTGTCTCTGAGCCTACAGAGAGGTTGTTCCTTCACACTCTTAGACACATCTGAGACAAGCAAACATGTGTGTGGGAGGGGGGAGGAGAAAGTTCCAGAAAATTTAAAAACAGATCATAGTTGAAATAAGAGCTGGATTACTTTTTCTAAACAGAAAGAACAGATTCTGGGTAATATTTATACAGGGCATCATTTCATTGTCAGCCATGAATAGACTTTTTTTCACCGATTAATTTGTTTTGAGTAAGCCCTTTGTTAAGACTTTTCACAACAGGAAGAAGGCTTTGCTAAAGAGCCTTAAGAGCCAACTTTCAGTCAAACATTACCATAAGCCCAGGGAAACATGAGAATCATGCCCCTTTCTCTCTGTTGCTGAAACTGCTCTAGGTGACATGTTAGGGATCACTTGCTGGAGAGGGTATGGTCTGTAATTATAACAGGGGCATGTCCTCAGTGAACTGCAACCCTGGGCCTACGCTGTTCCCCTAGTCACAGTAAAAACATGGTAGAAAGTGTTCAGCCAATGAGGACACAGGCAGAGGAAGTAGTCAGGGGAGGCCATCGGCATACTTAGACTGAGCAGCTGTCATCTCATCTTTGAAGGAAGTCTGGTTTCTTAACCTGGAATCATCACTCAAGACTTCACAGTGTTTTCTAGGTTTGTATCTTCCCAAAGGAGCTGAGATTTTTAAAATAAGGCTATATAGTTCATGGTTCTTGCCTGGGTCACACAGGGAGGGCATTATCAGCTCAAGTGACTGGCATGCCTTCATTCAAATTACATACGTATGTGTACACACATAATAACAGTTAAATCAAAAGTCTGTGAATTTGAGAGGAAGCAAGCAGGGATGGACATAAAGAGGGTTTATGGAGGGAAGGGGGAGGTGAAATGGTATAATTGTCTATAATTTCAAAAAAAATTTAAATTGAATAGGTCTACAAATGTTAGCATGTTTTACCTAGATAGAAAATGTAACACTGTGGCCAAGCGGTGGTGATACTTGCTTGTAATCCCAGTACTGGGGAGGCAGGAGCAAGTGGATCTCTGAGTTCTAGGCTAGCCTAGTCTACAGAGCTGTTATAGAAAGGAAATCCTGCCTTGAACAAACAAACAAAAATACTGTGAAAGATAAAGCTCGAATGCATTCAGTATTCCAACTTTTCTTTCTGAAGTTAATGTACCATTTTCTCAAAGAAAGGACATGCACATTTACCACATGCATATATTTAAAACCTTAGTTTATTGACATTTTCAGCCAATAGGTTGTTTTATCTGAAAGAAACAGACCTCATTAGAAAGCTGGGGGAAATAAATGCCATTGTACCTGAAATACATATTTTAATTCTTAGGGTCCTTGTCACACATCAAGGATATCTAGGCTGTGTCTTGGGCTTCGTACACATGAGTACTCACTGCACACATTCAAGCGCCTTCATGTAGCATGTATGGTGTGTGTGCAAACACATTCCATACAATTATGAACTGAAACTGCTCTTTCAGAAATGATTGAGAAATTCCAGATGAAATGTAATTAGTTTTTCATAGATATGTATGTATATATGCAGCTGTCCAGAATAGGAGTGGAGTGATGGGCTCTGTAAAGTATTTCCTAAACGGTAGAAACCGGTCGGTGTTTCTCCCTCTCTGCTCCAGGCTCCGTCAGTCAGAAACACCTACTCACTGAAATTATAGCTAATCACTGTTTCATTCCACCGGTCCAAAAATGCATGCACTCTGTGACCTGGTTCCCAGCTCTGACCAAGATCACTGTCACCTGGGAACTCTTCCCATTTTCATGCTCCCAGTCACCATCTATACCTACTGAATGGGAATTTGGAGGGTGGAAGGGGTGGGGTAGAGATGAGGAAACCCTCATCAGTCGATGAAGCATTTTGTTTTTGGAAAATTTTTACAAAGACTTGGAAATTTCTCAGCATGACCTCCTTAGCATATGGGGTGAGTGGCAAGTTTGCCAAGGGCACTTGTCTAGTGTGCTACCTGAATATCATTACTTGATGATAATTTCTGTCATTTAAAAAATGAATAAACAAGCCGGGTGTTGATGGCACACACCTTTAATCCCAGCACTCGGGAGGCAGAGACAGGAGGATCTCTGTGAGTTCGAGGCCACTCTGTTCTACAGAGCGAGTTCCAGGACAGCCTCCAAAACAATACAGAGAAACCCTGTCTCGAAAAACCAAAAAAGAAATTAAACAAACAAACAAACAAACAAAAAGTTATCCTAGGAGCCAAGACAGTGGCAATCTCCAGTCTGTTGAATGGAATCTGGTACATCTTATCTTCCTAATTATTGATGATAATGGGGCCCAGTGACCATTTCTTAACAAAAGCCTCATTTC